CAAAACTTCATTTTTTTTAATGGATGAACGCCTTGTAAATTTTAATCTTAAAAAGGTAGCATCGAAAATATAGACGATATTCAAAAAAGATTCAAGTAATTCAAAAATGATTGAAGAAAAAATTTTTTTTTAAGTAAATATATTTTCAACCCAGAATTCACGATTCCAATTGAGCCAGACATTTTTTTGAAACATTTCTTTAGGGTCGAAGTTAGTGCCTAACCTCAAAAGTGCCAAAAGCACTGTTTTTAAAATTTAAATTGGTCTGACACCTCTGAAATGTTGTATAACATTTCCATCCTGGAACTGACAGTTCCAATTGGGAAGGACAATTTTTGAAATTTTAAAAAAAAATTTCCATTCCATCATCTATAGGTTCCAATTAAAAGTTGAAGGAACAAAAGCACTATGTTAACACTGAAATACGTTACTTGAGATTTTTTAAAATTCAATATACAGACTTCTTCATATGTATTTCAAATATTTTTATTGACTCAAGATTCCAATTAAGCAGGACATTTTTTTTAGAATTTTTGAAATTTTTTTAAATTGAAGTTGCGATTTTTGAAAATAATTTTTTTAAATCAAAACTGTTTATATTGTAAGTATTTCCGTCCCGGCACTAATGATTCGAATTCACCTAAAAACTTTTTGGAATTTTCATCCCAGAACTCAAGGTTTTTTGAAAAATTTTTCAGTCTTAAAAATTGAAATACTGTCTTGGGAATTTTTGAAAATAATTTTTTTAAATTGATTATGCATCTTTGTTCATATTGAAAGTATTTCAATTTCAGGACAAAAAATTCCGGATACTTAATATATCCATAGGGTTCAGGTTAGTCCCAAAAGCACAGTTTTCAAAAATTGTACTTAAGAGTTTTTGAAAATAGTTTTTTTTTAATCAAAGATATAGTTGTTCATATGGTAAAAATTATTATTAAGACTCCAATTAAACAGGACACTCTTTTGAATTTTTCTTACATTGATTTCAAAATTGAAGTACAGTACTTGGAATTTTTGAAAATAATTTTTTGAAAATCAAATATACACATTTGTTCATATTGCAAATATATATAAATATTTTTTTTAACATTTCCATTCCGGAACTGAAAATCCTAATTAGGCCGAACACTTTTTTGAAACATTTTTTTAACAAGCTTGACCTAGTGCTTTCCCTTACAAGTGCCAAAAGCAGTGTTTTGAAAATTAAAATACGGTACTTGCCATTTTTTAAAATATTTTTTTTTATACAAAATGCAAATTTGTTCATAATGCAAAAATTTCGGGATTCTAAATTCCAATTAAGCAGGACATTTTTTTGAATTTTTGAATATCATTGTTTTAACTAAAGATTCCAATTAAACCGAAAACTTTTTTGAATTTCCATTCGGGAACTGATTAGCCAGGACACTCTTTTTGACCATTTTTTTTATTTCCTTAGGGTTGAGATTGGGCACACACTGAATTCAAAATTGAAATACGGTACTTGCGATTTTTGGAAATACTTTACGAATTTGTTCATAATGCCAAAATTTCCATTTGGCGATTCCAGATTCCGACTCTTTTTTCAATTTTTAAAAATTGTGTAAATTGAACTTTTTGAAAATAATTTTTTAAATCAATAATACAAATATGTTTTTCTATTTCGGTGTCACAATGATGATTTTGTACAACTGTTTTCGGCCGAGAACAGTTGTACAAAGACAGTGATTATAGTCGTTTTTTTTGGTAACTCATTTCTTAAGTTGGCAGTTACTAGTAAGTACAAGTAGGTACTTCGTTGGGTACTTCCATGTTTGAACTTCAAAATGTCACCCTTACTACGGCCAACCTAAAACTTAACGGCATAAAAAGTGTTCCCAACATAAAACATGTTTGTTCTAATGTTCCCTATGTTTCTGATAATGATTTTTTTTAATTTTTTTTAAGGAAAACAAATCATTGTTCATATTGCCAAGTTGAGTGCCAAGTATTTCCATTCCGGAACTACAAAGTTACATAAAGCCGGATACTTGAATTTTGGAAGTACCTACTGTTATCAAAATTGAAATAAGATACATGCAATTTTTGAAAATAGTTAAATTAACGATACAGATTATTTCATATTGCAATTAATATTTCCAACCGAGAATTCAAGATTCGAATTAAACTGGACACTTTTTTGAATTTTTTTAACAGTTCCATCCCGGAATTCACAAGTTCCAATTAAGACGGACACTTTTTTGAAGTTTTTTAGCATCTCCCTTCCAGAACTGAAGGTTCCAATTAGGCAAGAGACTTTTTTGAAAAAATTGTTCCAGGTCCCAATTAAACAGGAGACTTTTTTGAAATTTTTTATTTCCCCAAAGTTGAAATAGGTCCTTACGGTATTTGCGATTTTTGAAATTTTTTTAAACCAAAATTACAGATTTGATCAATTGCAGATGTTTCCAACCCAGAACTCAAGGTTCCAATTCAACCGGACACTTTCTTGGACTTTTTTTAATCATTTCCATCTTGCAACTGAAGGTTCCAATTATGCCAGATACTTTTTTTGAATTTTTGTTAATACTTCCTCAAGAAGTTAGGTACAAAGGCACCTTATACAGTACTTTCTGTTTTTGAAAATATTTTTTTAATCAGACCTACAGATTTGATTACATTGCAAAATATATACAACCCACAACAATCAAGCAGGACACTTTTTTGAAATTTTTTTAACATTTCCATCCCGGAATTGAAAATTCTAATTGGCTTGGATACTTTTTTAAAAAAATTCATTTTCTTAGAGGTTAGGCACAAAATCAGTTTCAACGATTGCAAGTAAGCAGGACACTGTTTTGAATTTTTGAAAATTTTTTGAACTGAACGATTTTTGAAAATTTTTTTAAAATCAATATACAAATTTATTCCGAGACTCAAGATTTCAATTAAGCAGAACACTTTGGAATTTTCTTAAATTTTTAATAGCACTTGTGATTTTTGAAAATAATTTTTTTTAATCAAAAAATACAGACTTGTTCACATTGTAAGTATTTCCATCCTGGCACTAATGATTCCAATTCACCTGGAAACTTTTTGGATATTTTTTTAACATTTCATCCCAGACCAGAAGGTTACAATTAGACCGGACACTTTTTTGAAATTTGTTAATATTGCCATCTCAGAACTCAAGGATTTTTGAAAAATTTTTTTAATATTTCTTTAGGATTGAAATTAAGTGTCTCACTTCAACAGTCTTCAAAACTGAAATATTGTCCTGGGAATTTTTGAAAATAATTTTTTTTTAATTGATGATGCATCTTTGTTCATATTGAAAGTATTTCAATTTCAGGACAAAAAATTCCGGATACTTAATATATCCATAGGGTTCAGGTTAGAGCACTGTTTTCAAAAATGATATTTGGAATTTTTGAAAATAGTTTTTAAAAAATCAAATATACAGATTGGTTCATATTGCAAATATTTCCAACACAGAAATCAAGATTCAAATTAAACTAGACACTTTTTAATTTTTTTAACATTTCCATTCCAGAACTGAAAATCTTAATTAGGCCGAACACTTTTTTGAAATATTTTTTTAACAAGGTTTCCCTTAAAAGTGCGAAAAGTGGTGTTTTCAAAATTAAAATACGGTACAAGTTTGTTCATAATACAAAAATTTCCAATTAAGCAGGGCATTTTTTTTTAATTTTTGAAAATCATTTTTTTTAATTTTAACATTCCCGGAACTAAAGATTCCAATTAGGCCGGAAACTTTTATCAAAATTTTTTTACATTTCCTTAAGGTTGAGGTTAGTGCCTAACCTCAAATGTGCCAAAGCACTGTTTTCAAAACTGAAATACGGTACTTGCGATTTTTGAAAAGTTTTTAAAATCAAGACCAAGGTTCATATTGCAATTAATGTTTCGAACCCAGAATGCAAGGTTCAAATTAAGCGAGCACTTTTTTGAATTTTTTAACAGTTTCATCCCAGAATTCACAAGTTCCAATTAAGACGGACACTTTTTTGAAAAAATTGTTCCAGATTCCAATTAAACAGAAAACTTTTTGGAATTTTTGAAAATAATTTTTTTAATTGAAGATATATATTACTATTTCCAGCCCAGAATTTAAGATTCGAATTAAACTGGACACTTTTTTGAATTTTTTTAACAGTTCCATCCCGGAACTCACAAGTTCCAATGAAGACGAACACTTTTTTGAATTTTTTTTAACATCTCCCTTCTGGAACTGAAGGTTCTAATTAGGCAGGAGACTTTTTTGAAAAAATTGTTCCAGATCCCAATTAAACAGGATTTCCTTAGGATTGAGTTTAGCTAAAAAACCACCATGGTTTTTTTAAATTGAAATTAAAAATAATTTTTTTAAAATCAAAAATTCAGATTTGTTCATATTGTAAGCATTTCCATCCCGAGGCTAAAAATTCCAAATCATCCACACTTTTTTGAAATTGTGATAACGTCTCCTTACAGTTGAAGTTACACACAAAATTGAAGCATGGTATTTACTTGGGATTTTTGAAAATGATTTTTTTTTACAAAAAAAAGCATATTTCTTCATTGCCAACACTTCCATCCCGGAGCTGAAAATCCCAATTGACTTGGGACATTTTCTTACAGTTGTGATTATGCACAAAAGAACTTTTTTTATATTGAAATTCAAAAACGATACAGATAATAATAATAATAAATGTCAAGTTACACACACTACATTTACATCTCGAAACTTAAAGCTGATCACTTTTTGTGAAATATTTTTCATTACCTTACAGTTTGAGATTAGGCACAAAAGGACCGCTTTTTGCAATACGGTAGGTACTTTTTACTTTTAATTACTGCGTCTTCTCAATGTCTTTCGTGCTACCTGTTGAGCCTCAACTTTTACTAATCGTAACGAGATAAGCAAAATGTCAAAAATATCACGACATTCTTGATAAGAAATAGGCGCATTCCAACACCCATATTTACGGAGCAGAACTTTCTCCAATAACAATTTTAGTGATACTCTACATACTTACTTTTAATCTGCCGCAAATCGCGTGCTCCCTTCGTGGAAATGAGACATGCTCGTATCTGCGAGATGACCTCGTCTCGCAACTTATCGTTGTCCATATTGAAGGGTTCACTGAAAACAGAAAGCGATAACAAGTGGTACCTGCACTAAGACGCCGTCTAAGCACAACCTGAGCGAGTTTGTTTACATATGAGTCATTTGATAAGGCAATCTATGAGTGGTTAATCATTTGCAAAAAATTGGCCCATTGAAAATTCAGCACCCCGTACTTTCACTCGAGACACACATATCAACAGCTGACATTCCACTGCAATGTTCCAGATTATGATGACCTTTATAACGTAATTAGCAGGTACGGGGTGACTAATTGAGGTCAATAAACTCGCGTAATTTCGGAATCAAACTTTTGGGTGCAGGAGGAGGAAAAGTTTCACACTACTTCAACTGCACTCGCATGCAGCACCTACCTTTCAGTTTCGAGCAGGCCAAGGACCGTTATTAAATCGGTGGTCGATCGCAATTACGGGTGAATAAATGTACGTTGCACAGAAAATTATTGCTTTACTTTGACAAAACTTGTACGAAAACTTCGAAGAGAGAAAGGAAAATTTAAACCGCCATTAAAGAATAAAGACTTTTGAGGGAAAAGGTTTGGGGGATTTGCTCGAAGGACGAATACCAACCGTGTGAAACGAAAGAATCTAAAAATCGTTGGGCGGATTCAGGAAATCGTGGGTGGCTTATCAATCAAAATGCGCTTGAGTGAATGCACAAAGACAATACCTACCCTTGTTTTCGTCCGGCGACGGTTTTCAAATTGTAATTCCAGACGGATTGAGAGCATAACATGAGCACTTTAGAATTGTAAAGTTTAGGCAACACATCATACACTAATTTCTGTTCGGAACCGAAAAATCTTTTGTTTTTCTAAAAAAGATTGGTTTAAATATTTTAGAAACACTGGTTTACTCTCCCCGACCTCCTCGAGGTAAAAGGCGGAACCGGAAGTGCATGCAATAAGCCTCACCCTGTCATTGCACCAATAAGCCTCCGTAAACGCATAAAACCCTGTCGCGACCGTCCATCCCTTCCCGCGTCTGCCCATGAAGGCAGAGAACAGATCCTCCACTAAGCGCGGATACTGCAGATGAGCGAGAGGGATAATACAAAAAGACAAGCGCTCTCTCTCTCTATCGCGTTTCTGTTGGTCGCATACAGTCGAAATTGCTATGGCAGAGCGACCAACACAAGCGCGATAGATAAAGCGCTTGCCTCTTAGTATTGCCCCTCTCGCTCACCTGCAGTATCCACGCTTAGCATTGGCACGCGCAGTCTATTTCTATATGTCGATGGAACCGAATCAATATCTGATCGTATATGTTCCATAGATATAGCCTACAGCCACTGTACGTCGCGTCGTTTAGTATAAGAATAGTCGCAGGTAGCCGCCCACTACAAAACTTACGTCTTTTCTTTCGCATGGGCTAGATAGAGATGAAAATATAATTTGTGTACAACTCACAAGCGACAAGTTTTGCAGTAGGCGGCAACCTGCGATGATTGGCGTGATGTGTTATACCAGACGACGTCTAAATCCGTGCTATCATATGTGAGAGAGATAGTCAACAGTAGAATACCGGTCATGCGCACTTGCCTGCCTTATTGACATTCCCCACATTAGTAGTATAGTACAACAAATACCTATATCTCTGTCGGGGTGGTTATGTTGGCACAACTGCTCCTCTGCTGTATAAAAAGTGAAAGGGAATTTGTGGCGCCGTTTTATCTGTCGATAAGGAAATCAAGTTACTGTAACTAATTTACCGTTTGTAGGAGAAGATAGAAACTTAAAATTGTATGATTCTGATTGGCCCATTGGCTCAATGGTAAATTAAAACTAGCATAGAGACTCGCACGTAGATAAACCTGAACAAAGTCGCTTAATCCCAAAATTCCGGGACGGGATCGGTGTTAACTGAACTGCTGAATTTGGGAATTTCAACTCGACCAATGAAGTAAGTATAATTACCGGAATTTAATCAGGTGTGTTGCATCAAACGGCGTCTGCTGGACAGGTGTTTGGTGTCCAATGAAGCGCGCTTAATTAGCATATATTTTAATACTAGTCCCAGATTTTTAGGATAACAAGGGATTGAGTATTTCATTAAAGATTTAATTTTAGGACGTTATCACCCGAGTAGGTCGGCCGGCTGGAAATTCCGACGCTCCCTTTCCGTATTTTGGGGGCGCTAGAGATAAAACGTTCCGCCGCAGGCTGTAGCTTCTATCTCTTGGTTTAGAAATTAACTCTATTTACCTTTAGTTCTTTTTTCAATTTTACAACTATGCTTTTTTGGAGTTTTCAATTATTTTGAAACCTTTCTTAAGTTTTTGGGCACTTCTAATTTTATAGTGACCTTGGGTACATTTTCTGGACTGTTTCATTCTAAATTTTTCTGTTCTGTTCATGGAATAAACTTCCGTGGGTCGAACTCTTCAGGAATGTTTAAATAACTTTGGGCATAAATTGCTATCAAAAATCCCCAAAGCGGTCGACTCCTGTTTTTATGCAATGCAAAAATTTCAAATAACGTATTTATCGATAAGTTGAAATTTCAGAAATCCAAAAATTTTAATTTTTCAAAATTTCCAATCTTTATATGCCCAAAATTTCAAGAAACCTAAAGACCAAGGTACCCAAAATTTCAAATTTCTAAAATGTCAAATGTTCCCACATTTACAATTCTCAAACGCGCCAATAACATTTCAAAAATTTAATATTAAAAATCACAGTTTTTCAAAAATGGTAAAAACCTTAAATTCGGAACGTTTAAAATTCTCACCAGCTAAAATCTGAAATTTCTAAATGTTAAAAAATTTCAAAACCTCAAATTCAAACTTCAAAAATTACAAAATCTGATATTCCCGAATTCTTAAAATTAGAAAATTAACAAAATCTAAAATTCCCGTTCATTTCAAATATCATAAAATCTGAAATTAAAAAAACTTAAAATTCCCAGTTTCAAAAATCCTAAAATCTCAGATCTTCAAAGTTTCATAAAGTCCAAATTCTCCGAAAATTTCCGAAGTTTACCATGCCCCTGGATTTCCATTACACATCTTTGGATGCTAAACAAAATTTAACCATAGTGTATAATTATTATATACCATGAATTTAATCCACACAAGGGAACGGTATTAATGAACTTAAAATTCCACTTCACAATTAATGAGAAAAAGTTCACCATAAACAATATACAAATCCGTTAACGGAATCGAGTTCTGTGGGTCGACCTCTTCAGGAATATTAAAATGACTTTGAACATAAATTGCTATCAAAAATTCAGTCAGTTTTTTGTTACTTTTTGTTCGATTAATTATGAGTGCTTGTTTACAATGAATTTGAATCAGGAACAAACCGGGCTTCAGGTTTCTTGAAATTTGGTAGTTGGCATTTCGTTTAATGACTGAGATAATTTACCAATATTCCGCAGTATGGAAATGACAGCTAGCAAAAGCACTAATTGTCTTTAATCCTTTTACAGGCTGCCGCTTATTCCAGAATTTTATTATTGCCCGTATAAACAAGAGAGACCCACAAATTTAGTTAGTAAACTTGTTTTTTATCGTAACTAACCCCTCCAGCTATAAACGCAATGGAATATTTTGTACTTTTGCCCACAACGCTTTCGTGGAAAAATTTAATTGAACGCGATTTTTACAATTTTCGATCTTCGTTTTTGATATTGTCATAATTTAACTCCCATGCACCACGTGTGTGAAAAATGGCGGTTACGGAGTGGTAAATAACTCTAACCACATAAGTTACACCTAATGCTGGGACTGTTCTCGAATCTCAACTATAGACTGGGCACAAGGACCTATTTGTTACCTATACCAGGGGTGGAATTCAGCTAACAAAAAAACAGGCTCACTTCAATCCAGGTGGATCAGTCGCGCGCGCTGTAAACAATTAAATAATTCGTTTTTATTATTAACAATAGTATAAATATAAAAGTTAAGTACAATTTAGGAAGTTATCGCCAGTAACAAATTAGTCTTCGTTCACTTCTTCGTTCTGAACGAACGGGTTGAGTATTTAATTAAAGAAAATTTAATTTTAGGACGTTATCACCCGAGTAGGCCGACCGGCTGGTAATTCAGACGCTCCCTCTCCGTATTTTGGGAGCGCGTAAAACGTTCCGAGCTTTTATGGCTTGGTTTAGAAATTAACTCTGTTTACCATTAGTTCTTTTTTAAATTTTAAAACTTTGCTTTTTTGGAGTTTTCAATTATTTTGAAATCTTTTTTAAGTTTTTGGTATAGTAACCTTGGGTAGATTTTGTGGACTGTTTCATTTTAAATTTTTCTGTTCTGTTCATTGAATAAACTTCCGTGGGTCGACCTCTTCAGGAATGTTTAAATAACTTTGGGCATAAATTGCTATCAAAAATCCCCAAAACGGTCGACTCCTGTTTTTATACAATGCAATAATTTCAAATAACGCATTTACCTACTGATAAGTTGAAATTCCAGAAATCCAAAAATTTTAATTTTTCAAAATTTCAAGAAACCTAAAGGCCAAGGTACCCAAAATACCAAAATTTCAAATTTCTAAAATGTCAAATATTCCCAAATTTACAATTCGCAAACGCGCCAACATTTCAAAAATCTAATATCAAAAATCACAGTTTTTCAAAAATGCTAAAAACTTGAATTCTGAACATTTATAATTCTCACCAGCTAAAATCTGAAATTTGTACATTTTTAAAAACTTCAAAACCTCAAATTCATAGGTCAAAAATTACAAAATCTAAAGTTTCTAAAATCTCAAATTCTTAAAATTACAAAATTAACAAAATCTAAAATTCCCGTTCATTTCAAATATCATGAAATCTGAAATTCAAAAAATTAAAAAAACTTAAAATTCCCAGTTTCAAAAATCCTAAAATCTCAGATCTTCAAAGTTTCATAAAGTCCAAATTCTCCGAAGGTTTCCGAAGTTTACCATGCCCCTAGATTTCCATTACACATCTCTCGATGCTAAACAAAATTTAACCATAGTGTATAATTATATACCATGAATTTAATCCACACAAGGGCATGGCATCAATGGACTTAAAATTCCACTTCACAATTAATGAGAAAAAAATCACCATAAAAAATATACGCATCCGTTAACGGAATAGACTTCTGTGGGTTGACCTCTTCAGGAATATTAAGACTTTGAGCATAAACTGCTATCAAAAATTCCCAAAACGATCGACTCTTGTTTTTATACAATGCAAACATTCTAATTAACTTACATTTATCGATGAGTCGCAATTTTCTCCAAATTACAGTCGATTTTCTCCTTTTGAAAGGTAGCAGCAATTCGGAAATT